AGTCGTGCAGCCGGTCCCGGCGTCTGCAGCGGTGCCGAAAACCGAGACGAAAGCGCACGCCGCCACACCGTCAGGTGAGCATCCTGCTTTCTCCTACCTTGTTTTTCTGACCTACCCTCGGTAGCCGTTTATAGCAGCTGCTCAAGCATCTTTTTTTCACCAATGCCGAAGGGATCGGCAGCACAGCCTTATAAATTGCCGATAGAAGCGAGTTCCAGGAAGCAGTTCAGAAGAAGAAGAAGTAGAAGATGCGATCGCTGTAACAAGAGGTTTAGCCGCCTGACCGGTTTCGGATTCTGTCGAGAAACCTTAATCAGAGGTAACCGTAGCATAGGGTGATACATGCACAAGATGCACGGTATTTATAGGTCATAGCGGCCACCAGCATGCGTACCATAATTATCAGCTCCTGTAGCCACCGCTGGGGGGTGGTCGTAATTAGTGCGGTGATTGCTTGGCAGTTCGCTTTCACGTGAATACTTGCTGCAGTTTCGTTGTCCGTGTTGGATGCGGGCTTGATAGCTGCGCAGCAATTATGTTCGCTGTCGTCAGAGTTGTCGCTGGGCCCGGCCCTTCCCCCGTGACTGATTCTCCTGCTCAGATAATGTCTCAATACTGAGTATGGGACCGGCAAGTCACTGCGCTTGTTGATTGACTGCAGGCCTGATAACTATGACTCGAGCAGCTCGCGGCTCACGCGGGCGATTATTTCGGACGCGAATGGCTGAGCACACAGCGGAGAGCAGAAGAGACGCTAACTCCCAGGTTGCAGCTTACTCGACGGAACTCGGCCATATTTTCAAGTTTAACGAGGCTGAAGTCCTCGCAAGAGGTGGCAACCGTGTGAACCCCCAGCTGCTCGAGTCATGGTCATCAGGCCTGCAGTCAATCAACAAGCGCAACGACCTGCCGTTCCCATACTACGCACTGAGAAATTGTCTGAGCAGGTGAATCAGCCATGCGGGGAGAGCGCGGCCTGGCAACAATATTAATGATAGCGAACCTAATTGTCGCTTAATTATCAAGCCAATATCCAATGCGGATGATGAATTCGCGACAATGAATGACTCGAGAGTGAACTGTCAAGCCATCACCCCACCAATTACGGTTACGGGAGCTGATAATGCGCATGTGGGTGGCCGCTAATAACTATAAATACCGCGCAATCTGTGCGTCTCACAATATTTTACGCTTACCTATGATGAAGGATTTTCGGCAGAATCCGAAACCGGTCAGGTAAATAAACTTCCTGTTCCTGCAATTGCATCTTCTACATCTGAACAGCCTTCTAGCATAATGTCAACCCTCGGAGTGCTTATTTTAGTTGTATTTTTTTGCACGGAGCCTTTATCGGAAACAAATGTGCATTACTGTATGTCTTTTCGAAGGACTGGACGACCTGTTGTCCTTGGATCCCCTCTTGGACCCTGGATCTAGTGTTCCCGCCCTTCAGTTGAGCCAACCTTCGAAGACAGATCCCTCTGGCCTGCCCTCTGGTAAGTCCGCTTACAGTCGCTGGCCATCACTTACACTCTTTTTTAAAGCATTTTTTCGAAGGTACAAATTTGAAGCAATCGTAAACGGCAGAATTTATTTGTACAAATAAATTTCAGGAGAGCTTGTCAACTGCTTCCTCTCTTTGCATGAATAACATAACAATTGGAGAACACAGCATTTTCAATTTTCACAGAATCACTAATATCAAGGTCATTTTAACGCGGCGAATGGTCAATAGTAATGTCACCTTTAAAATTAGGACATAAAACTAGGGACGGGAATTAGCAAGAATAAAAGGTTGATTAAATGTGGCATGCATTTACCAGGGCAGTTGGAGATTAACCATATGGTCCAACTGCTTACATAGACCGGATTTCTCCCGCCTCATGTACAGAGCCTTGGAAAACAGAAAAAAACCTAAAACAAACTTCTCCTTTTGAGGTTAGTATGGTTTTTTTAAATTTATGGTCGGTCAATAGTGTGCAAGATGGGGATTTTGTTCTAAGTAAAAAATCCTGCCTTCAAAGGTACAATAATCTCAAATATGGAATATAATGTCCGTGCAGTGTAGGTGTGAAGGTTTCGTAGTAGGAATATTTCGCGTCTAGAAAGTCTATCATTTATGGATTTTTGACTGATCCTTCAACGGCGGTATATTTAACTGCCAGCCAGGATGCAGAAGGCGTCAGTCAAGAGTGTAGTTCGTTCCGCTCTCTGTCTACCGGAATTGCAGACTGAAAAAAACGTTGCAGCTGTTTTTTAGGGCAGTCGAGACAGCTAACATCCGTTAGCGAAGCACCGTCGTGTAATTCAACAGCGAATACTGAAAATGCTTATTTGTCAAGCTTGACGCTGCTATCGGAAAACATTAAGAAATGCGAAACTGTTCTTAGTTTGATTTTTATTTTGAAAATCAATAAAAAAGTTGTTCTTGGAACATTTTACAAAGAATCAGTATGCAGGCGTACGAAGTCTTGCTTGTCATTTAACTTTGACGCCCATCAAAATAGTAAAGCAGGCTGCCCCTTACTCTGAACAATGAAAATATCGATTCATTGCTTAACCAGTCTCACATTGGATGCCTTATGATTGACTACGAGTCAGCGCGGTCGTACTTTCTTCCGTGCATACTTACAACAGGGGAATTCTGTACATGCAAAACACGCTACTGAATGCGATTCAGTACGCAAAATACCTACTTTTAAGTTTTGCGGGCGCTCACGAATTGCACTGACTTTCTCGTTATTTTTAGGCCTGAAACCAGCCCCCGCGAACGTTGTTGTCCGACCGCTGGCGGCAAAGACTACAGAAAAGAAGAACCCGCTGGATCAGTTGGACTCCACTCTGGCGAATTTAGCTTCCAGTCTGGGTAGCAGTACTCCAGACTGGGGTACAACCTCCAAGGTAGGCACTACTGTCTTCGAGTCTGCGTGATATTTTGCCTTTTTTTAAAAAATTGTTGAGGCGATCAACACATGTTTTCACATTGGCGGATGAACTTTACTGGTCTGTTTTTTTATTTTCAGAGAAAATGAACGCCGCAGGCTGTCGTGCATGAGCGCTTTCCAACGGAGCCATCCAATCTATCTAGACTAGGTCCATCCTTTTATCCCCTCCCCCCTCAACGATTTCGTGTAAGCTTTGCGCTTCGAGCGTGACCTTCGCGCATATACATTCTTCTTCCAGTTCAACAGTGCATCCCATGCGCGCCCAGGCGTGTCCTCCTCCTTCGGCGCCCGAAATTGTTCTGTCCTCTATTCTTCCTCCC